ACTTAGCCAGCCTTCCTGTGGTTCTGGGTGATGTCCGTTCCGTCTTTTAGTTGTATTTTTGAAGTGGTTGTTCGAGGCAGCAATCTCTGGTGTTTACCTATGCCGCCATCTTGGGTGTCCTCATCAGATTATTGAGGCTTAAATAAGGTATCATCTTTTCAGCTGCTAGCACAGTGCCTGGCACAGAGGCATCTAACACAGCTTTTACTTTTATTATAGTTAGTATATTTGCATCACTTAAGAGGTAAAATTTTTAGCCTCAGATTTTTATCTATATTATAATTGGTAGCCAGGGATGTATTCTGTGACATTTTTATGATTTTGCATAAATGTAGAAATTCTACAGATTTAGAACATACCAAAATTACGTTTTATCATTTCAGGCTTTCATTTAAGAGACTTTTTAAAAACTTGCAACAACAACCAAGCCTAAAACAAGAAGTGCTGATTTTAAAATATATTTTTATTGATTTCAGAGAGGAATGGAGAGGGAGAGGCAGAGAGAAATAGAAACATCAATGATGAGAGAGAATAATTGACTGGCTGCCTCAAGCACGCCCCCTACTGGGGATGGAGCCCACAACCTGGGCATGTGCCCTTGACCAGAATCGAACCTGGGACCCTTCAGTCCACAGGCTGATGCTCTATCCACTGAGCAAAACCAGCTAGTGGGCAAGAAGTGCTGATTGTATTGTGATGAGTTGAGCCGGAGCACACAGTTTCCAGTGGCTACTTGTATGTATTAAGTACTAGCTAATTTTTAGGCTTCAAAGTGAGTTTTTTATTGTACAATAAAATATACTTAATTAGCAACAAAATGCAGAGACTACTTATTAGCCAAAGTAAATGTAAAATCTGTCCACATTTAGAATCTTAATATGTAATTGTTGAATTCTCCTTTCTGTATATCTGTATTATTACTGAACTATCTTTCTTGCTTTACTGATTAGTGATAGATTTATTGATGAATAGATATTTGGCCATCAGGTGATGGACAGAAGTTTCTATTATGGAGACTGCATAAACTTGCTAAATTGGGATATAAGGTCAAATTATAAAGAAACCTATATTTCAGATAACATGACTAATTGATTTTTATATCCTGTTATTTGGACTGAGAAAGTCCTTCAGTTGTGCATTTTCAATGTGTTTTCTAGATAGTCAGCCATTATAAACCAAGATGAGATTATTATATGAAACATATTCATATAATCAGAAATTCAGATTTGTATGTTTTCCATTTAATTTCTAAATAAAAATAAATGCTGTCTTATAAGATACTATTACAGGTTTTTTCTCTTTAGTCTTTTAGTATATGTTTAACTAAGTCTTCTTATGAGGAGATAAGAAAAATAAAATATACCTTAGATATTGGAGTTTGGACACAAAATAGTCTGTACTCTAAATCAATAAATAAGTAAAAATTTTAAATAGATAAGTGTATTTATTTACTTAAATATGTACAGAAATTTTTTTGCTTGACAGAATTTTTCTCAGCCAATTAGTATCATAAATATGAAGTATTTTATATTAGTGACCATGTAGATGGAAGGAAACTATATTAATTCTGTAGATCATTGTCATAACTTTATTAAAATATTAATCAATAAGTTAATGAATGTAGCCCTAGCTGGTTTGGCTCAGTGGATAGAGTGTCAGCCTGTGGACTGAAGGGTCCCAGGTGTGATTCCGGTCAAGGGCACATGCCTGGGTTGTGGGCTCAATCCCCAATGTGGGGCATGCAGGAGGCAGCCAATCAGTGATTCTCTGTCATCATTGATGTTTCTATATCTCTCTCCCTCTCTGAAATCAATAAAAATATATATTTTTTAAAAAGTTAATAAATGCATCTGCCTGATACATTTAAAAAATTTTAGGAATAGAGGCCCATGATTAGAATCTACACTAATAAAAGAGAAAGATGCAAATTGACCATACCTTTGTGATGCCCACCAGCCAGTCAGGAATGAGTATGCAAATCAACCCAACAAAGTTCCACACCGCCCCAGCCACTCCGGGCCTCTGAGCAGCGTGGGAAGGCTCCGGGCCAGAACGAAGGCGGAAAGGTGGCTCCAGTTGGAGCGAAGGCGGTGCCGGCAGGCAGGGGAAGGAAGGCCCATTCTTGCACGAATCTTCGTGCATCAGGCCTCTAGTGCACCTATAAGACTACAAAATACAGTCTCTTGTGACTTCTAGAGATTTCAATATTAAGTATTATAATTGAGAAATTCACACTAATTAGTTATTCAGAATGATCTGATTCTTGGCATTGCTTCAGACAGGAATCAGTGTTTAAAACTGATTCTAGCCCTGACCGGTTTGGCTCAGTGGATAGAGCGCCGGCCTGCGGACTCAAGGGTCCCAGGTTCAATTCTGGTCGGGGGCATGTACCTTGGTTTCAGGCACATCCCCAATGGGGAGTGTGCAAGAGGCAGCTGATCGATGTTTCTCTCTCATGGATGTTTCTAACTCTCTATCCCTCTCCCTTCCTCTCTGTAAAAAATCAATAAAATATATTTTTAAAACACACAAACGGATTCTACTATTTTGATAATGGTTAACCAGCTTATTTCAAAGCTCTTCTTTTCACACTGATAACATTGGTTGGCTCCAAGGAAAGGAAATGGCTGTCTGGAAGATATGGACCGAGGGAAGAATTTTCACTGTGTGTCCTTTTGTACTGTATGAACTTTGACAAATGTGAATGTATAAACTAAAAATAAATTAAGTAAAATTACTAAATTTTTAAAACAGAATAAATGAACAGCTTCTATTTTTCCACTATCATCACTCTGCTAGGATCCCCCCTTCTGTGTCATTCTTTGAGGAATAGAAGTTCTTCTCAAGGAGAAAAGTCTGAGCCTATCAAACAACCCCTTAAGAAGTCAAAGTTACCACAAGGTCGTTTTGATGCACCAGAAGATGATAACCATTTAGAGAAAGAACCACTGACCAGTAAGTACAGTAAAGCTGCTCACATTTCAAGACTGCACGGTAGCTTAGTCATGGTGCCTAGCCTCCTAACTGCATAACTATGCAACCTTGTCTTCAAAATTGACCATCATGTTTTTCCTATCTCTATTGACTGCTTTGTTCACATCTTCTTCAGAATTTCCAGATGATGTTAATCCTGTTACCAAAGAAAGAGGTGGACCCAGGGGCCCGGAACCTACCCGATATGGAGATTGGGAACGAAAAGGACGCTGTATTGATTTTTAAGCCACATATTCTTTAATCTCATTATCTTTTTCTGAATACATACATCTGAATTAACTTATTTCTGATTATTTTCTTTGTGCATATCCTTTAATCTTCTAATTTCTATAATGTATTTGAAAGTATATATGATGGCTTTGGAAGAAAATATGCTGCTATAAGTGAGGATGGGGAAATATTTCTGCATTAACACATTAATTTTAACTTAAATGTATTGGGGTATATAAGTGATGATTAGAATTGTACACTTCTTTCATCATGTCTTAGTTTAATCAGCTGCTTATCAAATGAAAATGTAAATAAAGCAACTTTTAAAAAATGATTGTATTGCCTTGTGCTAGATGATATTGACTTTTTAAATGTGAGTTAAGTAGTGCATTATATTTGAGAAAGCCGCAGTAATAACAGAAAGTTTTTAACTTGGAGCCAAATTACTTGGGTACAAATCCTGGTTCTACTACTTACTAGCTATGTGACCTTGGGTAAGTTATTTAACTTCTCTATTTTAGTGTCTGTATGTGTAAGTTGGAGATAAAATTAGTTCCACCACACTGAGCAGTTGAGAAGATTTAGTGGATAAAAACCTGTAAACCACTTGGCATAATACAAAGCACATACATCTCAGTAATGTTAGTTGTCCTTAAATCATGAATGTATTTTGCCAAGACTCTCTGCTTCCTGCAAGGGGGGATGGGGGAGGGATTAAGAAACCGAAATTTGAAATACAGTGGAACCTCAGTTCTTGAACTTAATTTGTTCCAGAAGCGATTTGTTTAAAAATCAAATCATTTTTTCCCATTAGAAATAATGTAAGCCCTAGCCGGTTTGGCTTAGCAGATAGACCATTGGCCTGAAGGGTCCTGGGTTCAATTTTGGTCAAGGGCACATGCCTGGGTTTCAGGCTCGATCCCCAACCCTGGTCAGGGCATGTGTCTCTCATGTCGATGTTTCTCTCTCTGTCTCTCCTTTCTACTCTCTCTAAAAATCAGTGGAAAAATATCCTCAGTGAGGATTAACCGAACAACAACAACAAAAGAAATAATGTAAATTGAATTAATCAGTTTCAGACCCCAAAATGATTCCCTGTTTTAACCTTTCTTATATACAGTACATGTCTAATGTACTGTTTAATCTATAAATGAAAACTTTTTTTTCTTATATTTATCGAACCATCCCCTACTAGCCTTAAACAAATCACTTTCAACACTCAGTCCAGGGCTGTCTTTCAGGTCAGCATGCAGCCTCTTTGCTTGTTCATATATCACTGTCTCCAAAATGGCTGTCACTGGCTACCTGCTTTTCCTTTATCTAAATCAACAGCAGTGTTTCTACCTCTTCAATGGTCTCTGATCATTGTTTCTTTCACACCCTTGGCAACATTAATACTCTTGATGGCCTCTTTATGTTTTAAAATTGTGCTAATCTTTTATTTCCCCAGCATTCTCTCCTTTGTTGCCTGAGAGACACTTTTTGTCATGCTTAGGTATCAGCTTGAAAGGGTTGTCAGTTAGATAATCAAGACATTTTTTCTGTGAACAACTTGGTTGAGAACGGAATTGTTGCCCTAGCAGGTTTGGCTCAGTGGAAAGAGTATCGGCATGTGGACTGAAGGGTCCCAGGTTCGATTCTGGTCAAGGGCATGTACCTTGGTTGCGGGCATATCCCCAGTGGGGGGTGTGCAGGAGGCAGCTTATTGATGTTTCTCTCTCATCGATGTCTCAAACTCTCTATCCCTCTCTCCCTTCCTCTCTGTAAAAAAATCAATAAAATATATTTTTTTTAAAAAGAACGGAATTGTTCAATATAGGAGACATTCGAAAAATGAGGTTTGACTGTACTTGAATTGAAATTGTTTTATATGAGTATAAATAGTATTAAAAAGTCACCGGTTGGAAAATTAGTGATTATTTGCATAGGTGAACTGATGAAATATACATTCATTTGTGAAACATAAAATTCAAGTACAGAGGGCAAATATGAGAAAAGCAGTGCATAGAATAGACCAGCTTAGTCAGTTCTGATGACTCAATAGGTCCTACCCCTGTGGCCTTTGGATAACTAACTGGGTCAGGAGAAGTCAAGTCCAGTTTACAGATTTGAAGGAAGGATGGGAACTACTGGGCCTCCCTTAAGGCCTTCTTTGCTGTTCTATGGCCTCACTCAGCCACAGGGATTGGGCCTTCAGCCCTCAGGCTACACTTAAATTAGGAAGAAAGGGCTTGCAAAGCCTATAGAAGACAAAATGCAGTGGACTGATTATTTGTGTGTTATGAATCAAGTGCAATGAGAAGATTGTAGGAAGACCTTTTTAAAGAGAATAAACTTTTTAAAAAGTGTATTCTCGCCCTGGCTGGTTTGGCTCAGTAGATAGAGCGTTGGCCTGTGGACTGAAAGGTCCCAGGTTCGGTTCTGGTCAAGGGCATGTACCTTGGTTGTGGGCACATCCCCAGTAGGAGGTGTGCAGGAGGCAGCTGATTGATGTTTCTCATCGATGTTTCTGGCTCTCTATCCCTCTCCCTTCCTCTCTGTAAAAAAATCAATAAAATATATATATTTTTTAAAAAAGTGTATTCTCCCCAGAAACAAACTAACTAGTGTGGTAATTGGGACTAGTCATTCGGTCTTCATACCATTCTCTCTCTCTTAGTCAACATTTGTTCTCTAATTGCAGTTACTGTGTATGCTAAGTAATAACCACATTCCTATAAAACTGTGCTGTAATTTAGTCAACCTCCAATTAGCCCAAATTAGTGAAGGTTTTTACTAAGTTATTACCCAGATGGGCTGAGCCCCAAAATGGTGCCAGCACCCATGGATGGGGAGTCAGATTTTAAAGGACTCTAGGCGGGCTTCTTCTGGGCGGAGAATACTCTGGGTGGATAAAGGTCCTGGGAAGGTCCAGAGGGGAAGGATGATGGTCTTAGCAAGTGGAATGTGGTCTAAACGAATTGTGAAGTGATCTGAAGGTCAGTTCCCAGGGGAGGGGATATCTGATTCAATTATTTGAATCAGACCTAACAGTTAACATTTCAAAATACTGTGTTAGATTATTTTGTGTTGTCTAGTTTTGCTTGGATTGCATACTAATCATCATGATATGTGACAGAGAAAAGGCAGCTTGCATACTTTAAAACTAATATAAAATGTGTAACAACCTAAGTATCTATATATATAAAAACCTAAGCGACCATCCGACTGGTAACTATAACAATGACCACTGGGGGTCAGACACTTCAACTGGTAGCTATGACGCCCACTGACCACAACGCAGGAGCTGCCGAGTTGTGGTGACTTGGCAGCTGTGGTTCTCCAGTGATATGCCCAGAACCAGAGAGGAGGGAGCCCAATTCCGGGGTATGTTACCTGAGAGCTACCCTCTCACAATCCAGGACCCCTTGGGGGATGTCAGAGAGCGGACCAGGCTGAGGGACCCCACCAGTGCACGAATCAGTGCACCAGGCCTCTAGTCCTATATAATATAAGGCTAATATGCAAATTGCCCCCTCAACCTGGAATTCGACCAGGGGGCGGGGCCGGCTGGCCAACCACCCACAGCCCCTCCCCCCAGCCAGCCTGGCCTGATTGGCCCCACCTGGGCAGGCAGGCTGGACCCCACCCATGCACAAATTCGTGTACTGGGCCTCTAGTATTAACATAATGGAATCCTTCATTTCTGTTAATAGTAACATGATTCATCACATTGTGGATGAAAAGGGACCACTTGCTAACCTGACAAGCTCAGGTAAGGCCTGCGTGTTGGCCTTGCAAACTCAAGAGACCTAAAGTAACCACAAAGGATGGTCTGAAATTAAAACTTTTTAATTAAAAAAGCAGTCTATTAGTCATGTCCTAGGCTGGTATATTCTCTGACAAAGATCAACTTGGATCTTAATTGAACTTATTGTCTTTTCGAATCTATGATAACATACCTTTGGAATGTCAGGGTAACTTTTAACTTCCCTTTTACCAGACCCCACAGGGCACAACCTATATGCCAGGGTGCAGACCACAAATTCCCTCATTGTTATTGTGTTCATTGTTACTGTTAACTATCCTGTACCCACCTATGTAAAAGAAGCATGTGTCTATCATTTTACTTTTTATCCAATCCCAGAGGTTCCTTGCTTTGCTTTCTCTTACCTCCCTAATCTATCAACAGTGGATCTCATGTAACTCACTTACATCTCCTCCTTTGATGGTAATGTATAAAAATAGGCGTAAAACTGCCATTCTCCAGAGCATTATCTTAATTCATTGAGAGTCTGCTTCCTTACAATTGTCGACAGTTTGGCTCAAATAAACTCACAAAACTTCTTTACAGGTTTGAATGTTTCTTATGTTAGCAATAGCATCAAATATATAGGTAAAATTTGGTGGCATGAAAATATTTGTGGTTTTTATGTCCATCACACATTAACTGAAAAACCTGAAGACTTATAAAAGGTGATGTGGCAATGGCAGTGCATCACTCAAATCTCCCCCTGTGGGAAGTAGAGGTGATTGAGAACCCCAGCTGCTGCCCCATTGGATCCACTACTGTGTTTCTGCAGAGGCCATGCTTCCTTCATGCTGTTCCTAGCCAATGAATGAGTATGGTGGGGCTACAAGGAATGAAGATGGTGGCCAACTCCCTTGATGGGTGACGTTGGTTCAAGGCCTCCCCACCAGCCTTCCCAGAATATTCTTAGGAATGTGCTGCTGTCTGAGATTCTTCCTACACAATCCTGCCCTTCCCCCTTCCCTTCACAGGTGTTGACTCTGCCTATTCCTCCCCTTTATAATTCACAAAAGTCTCCCCAATAAAAATACCTTTCATGTTGAATCCCATCTGTTTCTCAGAAAATCCAAACTAATATGGATAAGTTTAACAGAACAATTTACAGATTTTCAGAAAATGTCACACAAAGCTTGTGGCTTTTTCTAGTGTAATTATAGTTTAAACACTTTAATTTACATTGCTTGGGGGATTTCTGGGAAATTATAGGCTGAGCTTTTCTGTACAAGGCTCATGCCATGGAGCCTTGTACATATTAGGTGTTCTAATGGAACTGAATTATGTCCAGCATTTCTTATTTTGATGTCAGTTGCTGCAACTTACCATGAATCAAACTATAATATTACCCATTATTAATCTAGTTAAGAAGAAGCCTCAAGCCACGTTCTGCTAGTAAATAAATGTTTGTTGGATGAATAGAATAGCTTATAATGAGCAAACTTTCTATTAGTAATTATGAATTATATATCAGCAATTTTAGTGATAATTTCAGAACAGGACAGTACTTTTTATAAGTGCAGGATAAAAATGGCAGTCAAACTCTAGTT